TGTTTTTTAAAAAAAATAGGGGTTTTTTTTTTCCCCCCCCCCAAGAAGGGTTAAACCGGGGGGGAAAGATTTTTTTTAAAAAAAGTTTTTTTTTTTTTTTCCCCTTTCCCGGGGGTTTTTGACAAATTCCCCTTAAATTTTTTTTTTGGGGGCCCCAAACCCCCCCAGGGGGTTTTTGGGAAAATTTACATTTTTCCCCCCCCAGGGGCCCATTTTTATTTGGTTTTTTTTGGGTTTTCCCAACCCTCCCCCTTTTTTTCCCCCCCCCCCCCCCCCCCCCCAGTCCAAGTACCCCGACCTAGCAAAGGAGCTGAAGCGCCGCATGTCGGGAGAGCTCCCCGAGGGGTGGAAGGACAAACTTCCCAAGTTCGTTCCGGAGGTACAGTAGTACGTCTTTTTCCAGTTTCGGCGGTGCCGTGTGTGTGTTGTAAATAGCATCCACCACTGCTGTATCCGGCTGACCAACGAAAAGACGCCGTTCTAAACAACGAGAAGACGCCGGGCTCCGTGCAGCGGTTATAAAACCATATGTAACACGCCACTAACAAGGCCGTGATCTGGGACTCCGTTTGTGTGTCTTTGTGTGTTGTGTTGTGGTAGTAGTATCGACGGTGCTAACCGGCTGACCAAGGAGAATACGTCAAGCTCCGTGCGGCTGAAAATAGGAAATGCTTCTACACAACCGTGATCTGGGACCCCGCGAGGGGGTATTATCGGGGAGGCTAAGCTACCTCCGGAGCCGTGTGTGTGTGTATATTTGCATCGACCGCGCAAACCGTCTGACTGATGAAAACACATCAGTCGCATAGAGGGACCAATAAACGCGTGTGCTTGAGCTCGTGCCGTCATTGCTTTCGCTACCTGCGAGAGTTCTCCCGAGCGAGATTCTGTGGCCACCCCTTCATCGGTAAACCCTTTTCGAAACAGCGCTGGACAGGTGATCTGCCTTGTAAGTGATGCCGTGTTTGGGCCACTCCCGTGCTCTCTGCTGGTTGTTGTCGTTTCTATTGTTGCCAGGACAAGGCGCAGGGGACGCGGAAGTACTCCCACATGGTGATCAACGCCCTGACCGACACCATACCGGAGCTCATGGGCGGATCCGCTGACCTCACGGGGTCCAACAACACCGACTTCAAGTGAGCTGCATATGCGTAGACAAAGTCGCATGCACATGGTGCCTTGTGTGTCTTCCTGAGGAAAGTCGGAACGGCTAGCTTCATCTTTCATGATCGCATAGCATTTTTCGTCGAGAGATATGTACGCGAAGGTCGCGGCTGTCGTTGCTGCCATTTGCCTCTTTTTTTGTGTGTTCCGTGATTGTAGATTTCACAAGAAGTTTGGCGAGTTGCGCTGTGGCGGAAACGTCGATTGAGATGTTCTTCTGCTCCTGACTTCCTACTACTGTATCAGACTGCCAGTTTTTTTCCCTTGCGCTGCAGGTGTGCAGGAGAACTGTTCCGACCTTTTTTTGAGAGTTACAGCAGTAGCTGGTGGTCAGGCGAAGTTCTATTGTTGAAAACAAAAAAAAAGGTAAGAGAAAATGGTGCACGCGTTTCACGTTCCGCGGCATGCCAGCGTGTGTGCGTCGAACGCGGCGGACATAATGCGGCTACCGAGCTACAGCGCTGCCTCAAACCCGAGGGGGAGCTGAAGCAGCTCAAGCCGCCAAGCTTCTGCTTCGCCTGCTTGTAAGCTCTTCCTCGGGCTTGAGGCGGTCTGGTGGCCCGGTTAGCGCATTCTGTCCTCCGCGTTCAACACACGCTGGCAGGCCGCGGAGCGTGTACGTGTCCGCCATTTTCTCACCTCGTTCCGAGCGCCAGAAGTCGTGTAGTTCATCGACGCCAATTAGGACGCAGGCTTCCCTTGGAGGCGTTTTAAGCATGTCTGATTTTTCCAAATCTTCTACAAGTACTTCCAACAAATTTGGAAGTGAGTAAGGCCCAAAAAGATTGGAAGCTTCCAATTTTTTCGAGAAAGTGTCCATTTTTTTTTTCGTCGGACTCGCTTTGCAAAACGTTCCAAAAAAATTGGAAAATATGCGCTCTGTTTGAAACGCCCCTTAGATGGAGGCCCAGATCGTAGTATTCCCTACCCACTTTACCGGGGGGCTGGCCGTTTTCTTTTCTTGGGAATTCGGCGAGGAGAAGGTCTCGGAATAGAGAGAGAGTGGCACCGAAGGGAAAAGGGTATAGGGAAGTCCGAAGACCTCCCACTCCCCATCTCGTGTCTATCCATAGCACGGTGAACGAAGAGCAACACTCCGCTCAGATCGTATCTTGCCCTACTCTTTGTTGTGCACCAATGGTGACAACACTGCCTACACATTGTCCTCTACAATAAATTGTATTGGGGAGTTTTTTTTTGGGGGGGGGGGGATTTTCGAGAGGGCATGCATGTCCAACGGTTCATTGAAACAATTTTTGCCGCTTTTTCTTTTTCATGGGGCGTATGCATGACCATCGCTCGAATTGTCCTCTTGCTGCCGTATTCGCACGGCAATTCATGCACCTTGTCTAGTGAGGAGCCGCGATCACGCACATCGGCATACATATTTGTACGAGTATTGCTTAACCCTACACATGGTGAGAACGAGGTCCGTTCGACGTTAAATTAGTCGAAAAGCTTAAATACATAATCCCAAAAGTAAAACCTGTCTTGCAAAAACACTTGCGACGTAACAAGCGTAATTTCTCTTCTGTTTTTTTTGTTCTAGCCCAAGTTTTTTTCCCATTCGACCCCCCGGTTGTTTTAGTAATCAATGTGAGGGAGCTTTCACCTCGTTTGTTTGTTTTTTTTTCAGGTCTGGGGTCTTCCAGAAGGATGCCTACGAGGGCCGCCAGATGCGGTTCGGCGTGAGGGAGCACGGCATGTCCTCGGTTATGAACGGCATGTTCGCGTACGGCGGCATGCGACCCTTCGGCGCGACCTTCCTCAACTTCATCACCTACGCCTGGGGAGGGGTGCGACTCAGGTACTACTGCTGCTTTACTGGTGTTGCACATACGCTCATCATGTGTCTTTTCTGTCGGTTTCGGTCCACCTTTCAAGCTACTGGCACCAAAGACGGACGTCTGTGGTTGCTTGTTATAGACGGCAGCGTTGGTAGGAACAGGTGACACGTGTGTGTGTGTGTGTTCCCATCTGCCTGGCACCGGTCTACGCACCTTTCGGCGTACGGTACGTACGTTTTGACGTATGCTATCAATTCTTGGTAGCAGGAGGAAGGTTACACATGAGATTTTTATTTTTTTAATTGCCCCACACTTCCTCCTGCGGTGCTTGCCTTAGCTATACGAAGTAAATAGTTTTTATCGCGAAAAGGGTTCAGTCGCCCCTTACCATGGTTGATCACCAAGTGTGTACTCGCGAAGTTAGTCGTTTTCCACTCAAACTTTGTTGGTTGTTTGCAACAGCAGTCTTCATATTTTGAGAAAAAGAAGGTCTGGTCACTGCTCAGTGATTCTTTTTTTTTACGAAAACGCTTTCGCACCGGTCCAACTCACGCGGACGCCTTCCATGGTCAAATTTGCATTACATTGAAGTACTATACATTTTTTTCGCTCTATAGGGAATCGAACCCACAACCTTGTTCAATGAAGTAGATGCATACGCGCATACGAACCCCTTTATGTGGAGGTTGAACCACTGAACTATCGGTAAAAAAGGCCGTCGACGAAGAGATTCGAACTCTCGCGGGCATAGCCCAACGGCTTAGCAGGCCGTCACCTTAACCACTCGGCCACGTCGACTTGTTGATGCAAACCAGACATGCTCCCTACTATTTAGAGAGTGACCATTTCCGCGAACGGTGTTGTACGTCCTCAGTGGCTTAACCACTAGAACACTGGTAAAAAAAAGAACGTCGACGAAGAGATTCGAACTCTCGCGGGCATAGCCCAACGGCTTAGCAGGCCGTCACCTTAACCACTCGGCCACGTCGACTTATGCTGCTCGACTCCAACCATGCCCCCCTACTATTTAGCGAGTGATTACTTCCGCGAGCCGTATGCACATGTAACATCCAGTCCTTGACCACTAGATTATGGTAAAAAGAGAGATCGTCGACGAAGAGATTCGAACTCTCGCGGGCATAGCCCAACGGCTTAGCAGGCCGTCACCTTAACCACTCGGCCACGTCGACTTGTTGATGTAGACCAGATATGCTCCCGTACTATTTAGAGAGTGACCATTTCCGCGAACGGTGTTACATCCTCAGTGGCTTAACCACTAGAACACTGGTAAAAAAAGAACGTCGACGAAGAGATTCGAACTCTCGCGGGCATAGCCCAACGGCTTAGCAGGCCGTCACCTTAACCACTCGGCCACGTCGACTTGTCGTATGGCACCGATCATGCCCCCCTACTATGTACCGAGTGAATATGTTCGCGAGGTATGCATACGTCCTCAGCTCCACCACCGACTGGGCTAAACACGCCTAATTAATGTCCAGGACAAGAAAATCCTACGGAGACACGCGATTTTTTTCGACTTTTTTTTTTCTTTTTTTTTCGCGCACAACCTTTCCCCCGTGAAATATAATCAAGTTGCCTGCCCTGTTCGTGCCTAGTTGGTTACGGTTGCAGACGGGGGGTTTTATTTTTTGTTTTTCTTGAGCCTGGTATCACCAGATTTAACCCACACTATTTGCTTGTAAACAAAAAATTCTGTGTCCTGATCGGACATACGCACATATATATACCTCCCCGCGCGCAAAAAAAACTCCGCTGTAACTTGTATGGCTCCGCTCGCGATAATAATAATAATAAAAGAAACATTTCGGCTTGACGGAAATCAAACGGCAGCGCTCTGTCCAAGTTTGGTGTGGTGTACGTGATGACCCACGACTCTATCGGTCTCGGCGAGGACGGGCCTACCCACCAGCCCGTGGAGGTCATGGAGCTCCTCCGGTCCACCCCTAACATGATGGCCTTCCGCCCGGCCGACGGGAACGAGGTATGTATGTTCTTCTTAGGTTCTTTTATTCCTTTGTCCGAGGGGAACGAGGTATCTTCTTTGGTTCTTTGGTCCACCCCTAACATGATGGCCTTCCGCCCGGCCGACGGGAACGAGGTATGTATGTTCTTCTTAGGTTCTTTTATTCCTTTGTCCGAGGGGAACGAGGTATCTTCTTTGGTTCTTTGGTCCACCCCTAACATGATGGCCTTCCGCCCGGCAGACGGGAACGAGATATGCATATGTTCCTACCTTATTTTATTCTCGTGTCCGAGGGGAACGAGGTGGTTATCTTCTTTGGTGGTTATCTTCTTTGGTTCTTGTATTCGTATGTACGTCCGACGGGAACGAGATACGTTCTGATGTTCTTTTATGTCCACGGGGAACGAGGTAGTTCTTAGGTTCGTAGGTTATGTCCCTCCGACAATAGTCAGGGTTTCGCTTGCATTTATCTCCATGTATGTCACGACTGTTGTCAAGGGTTTCCTCCACAAACGCCGTGCCGGATGACCTCGCTAGCTTTTTTTCATTGAACTGGTGTCTCGTCCTTATTTTGTGTTCTCTCCTCGTCAGGTAACAGGGTCGTACATGTGCGCGATGGAGGCGGGCTCCACCCCTTCCGTCCTGGCGCTCTCGAGGCAGAACTGCCGCCACCTGAAGGGGACCTCTGCCGAGCTCGTGGCCAAGGGGGCCTACAATCTCTGCGAGCACGGACCCGGCGGTGCCCCCGACGTCATCCTCGCCGCCACCGGTGAGTTGTCATGCCGTACCCCACGCTTTCTAGCATTTTCTCTCGACGCGGGGCACTTGCTGCGTTCACAGGCCAAACACCTTGAACTATGAGTTTTGCTTGCTTTGCAAGAGTTTTTTTTTGTGTGTGTTTTCACGCTCCCTCTGTTCGAGCGTTGGTTCGCGGTTTGTGTCTCCTTCTTGTGGCGCGACACACCGGGGTATGTGAGTATCTTGCTTCCCCTTTTTTGTTGCTCGTCGCCTTCTCTGCTGTGGGTCTTTCTTTTGTTGTTCGTCTGAAGGTTGTTGTTTTGTTGATTTCGTGCAAAAAATCTCGTGTTTTCATGGGGTGTGGCGTTCTCGCAGTTGTCAGGATTCGTTGCATCACACTCATACGCGAGGCCTTTATTACTACTGTCGCGGGCTGGGATAATAAACGAAAAGCGCGAATAGTCTTTCGCGCTCTTTATGTTCAACTATTTTGCGCCCGATTTCAACGCTATGTACCGGTCAAAAAATTCTTTTATTTTTTAGGTTCGGAGGTGCAGATCTGCGTAGACGTGGCGAAGGCCCTCGCAGCCAGCGGCACCCAAGCTCGCGTGGTATCCATGCCGTGCTGGGAGCTCTTCGAGCATCAGGACGAGGCGTACCAACTCCAAGGTACGGGGACACTGCTGCTATCAATCTACAATAGTACCTGCTGCCCACTGCTGTTGTTTGCGGTGTTTTCGGCGGCGTTGCTTCGCGGTGTTTTTTGCCACCCGCCTCGGCGGTCTGCACAGGTTTAAGGCGGCACACGTGCCTGAAGTGGTACAAAACGTCGCAAACGGCTGTCGTTTGATGCAGCACACGGAACAAAATATCACTAAATTAGTGTGGAGCATGCACACCCCAAAACCGGACCTTATGCGAGTAAGTTTCTTTCCTTGCCACGTCCCGTATCTGGTGTTGCTGCTCACGACGACGACGACGACTTTCGACGGCGACCCCGACCCCTCGCGGACACACCTGCGCTGCTGCCGCCCCTTGTCGCAGTGTTCCCTGCCGGAAGCCCAGTCATGTCGGTCGAGGCCGGCGGTATCCAGGGCTGGGAGCGGTGGGCGCACGCCCCCTTCGGGATGACCCGCTTCGGCGCCTCGGCCCCGTTCAAGCCTCTCTACGAGAAGTTCGGCTACACCGTGGAAAACCTCACCAAGCAGGCGAGTGCCTTTCCGAAGTCGATGGCGCTGCCCCCTTAAAATCGTTTTTGCTTTTAGTGGTGCGGGCTTGAAAGGTCAGCCTCACCGAAACTTGGCGGCTTTTGGTTCCTTGCCCACTGCTTGTGATGCTGAGACTGCTGGTGTTGTGTTGCTTTACGTTTTTTTCGCTCTCTGTGTGTGTGGAACTAGCCCTTATCCAGAATCGGGCGCGTCCACAGCGAACTGCTGAACGAAACATTTTGGCATTGCCTGCTGCTGCTGCGCGACGCTTCTCTCTATGAACTTTGTTTTAGCGTGTACCGTACTAAGAGATATTCTGGGTGGCTTGTTTGGGTCTCTCCTAGAGGACAACAAGGTTCTGGGCAGACAGCCAAAACTCCCGCTTGTTACCAACGACTGCTGCATGGCCGTGGCCGAATCAACGTTAAGCTTGCGGTTCGCGTGTATCCCCCTTGCCCCCCATGAACGACAAGCCATATCTAGTTTAAACCCTCGTGTCCGCACCGTGAGGCTATATCTTCAACGCAGCCAGGACAAGCCGCCGGGGATAGCCCCGGCGAGAGTCTGAAGCCCGTCCTATTTTATGAAAAGCCCATGGGAAGGGTGAGGCGGCACGCCACCATCCGCATCATCCACACCGTGCATGATAGCTTCAACCACGGGCCAGTCGTTCCCGCCACGTACGTTTTCTGTCTCTTCTTCACCTCCTGTCTTTTTAATGCACCCTGCTTTCGCCTTTCGCTAGGCTACCAAGGTGGCGGAGTTCTACAAGGTCAAGGGCGGCGCGCAGTCTCTGGTCCAGCGGGTCGACCTGAACCTCGCAGGATACCACAACGGACACTGATTTACGATGACAACCGCAGATGACTGGTGTTGTTCGTGCATGCAGCGCGGCACGTAGCGAACTTCAATGGGAGCCTCACCTGGCTAGATGTTGACAATTGTTTTTCCGCGTTGTAACAGGGTGATTCGTTGTATTTTCGTGAGCTGCTGGGTGGGTGCGTCCCACGTTAACCAGGAGCTTGGCTGCTTAACGACCGTAACCTGGTTCCGCACGTAAGGGAGGACCGTGCTCATTGCGCTAGCGCAGCCTTGGCGTCTTAATCGCCGGCGTACCAGCCGCCGAATGGGGGTATATCGTAAGAGTTGGGAAAAAATGCAGAGGTTATGGTCGTCTATGATGGGCGTGGGCGTGTTTCGCTGTCTTGGGCCTGGAGTGGATGCACCAACGACAGCAGCAGCGGAGACTCTCACAACACAATGCTAGGAACGAGTGCGTCACCGCGACGCCCCCGACGTCAACAAACGAGAAAAAGAAAGAAAAAAGAGTTGTGACGATGAACGAACGTACTTGTAGCACGAAATGATTTTTCCCGTTCTGTTGATGATGATTTGGAGTTTTTCTGCCGCTTGCTCGTTTTTGTTGGCACTTTTTTTGTGTGCTCCTCGTCGGGAGGTCGATGCTTCGTTGTAGATTTGTCGTACGTGTTGGTGCTCTGTGATTGGGATATATGTACGTAATGGACACACACTCGTTGGTGAGCTGGGTGTGGGCCGTTTGGGGGGGGGCGGGGTCGCTAGGGTTACCGGAAAATGGTGGCCCTGCGTCGGCTTGTTTGAATTGACGCAAAGGAACTTGAGAGCTAAGAAGGGGAAGGCACCGGGGGAAAGCTGTAGTTGTATCCGATAGGGTAGCAAAGGGATAACTACAAAATATCAGTCTCTGAACGGTATACCTACTCATCTCAGGTACTGCTGATCTTACGCCCACAATGTGTCGCGCTTGTGCACGCACACAAAACAGCCCGTGCATTTTGACTCCAGGCTGTACTCAGCTCGCACTCTTAACTCTGCGAGGTGTGTGTGTGTGTTGGGTTCCGCGGTTGACGTGATAATTGGCTTTCTGTGTCTTGTGGTGCTATTTGGAGATGGCCATGTGATGGTGCGTTACCATGGGTTGCTTGGCGTTGCCGGCAGTCTTCTTCTAGACGTCATGGGTGGCGAGATTCAGGAGTAATTCCGAGTCATGTGCCCTTCTATTGAGTGTGCGTGTGCGCTTGGGAATGGTTTGTGTTGGATTTCCGGCTGCATGATGTGCATGCAAAGGTGGTAGGAATGAACAAATGAGAGGAGAACAATGCAGCAGCGGCCTGCCTCTGTGGTCGGACTATTATTTATTGAAGTTCCACATGGCACCAAGGTGATTGCAGTGAAGAGTTGCAAATCACAGCATTGTGATGCTTTTACGTGGTGTGTTCTGTTGGCAATCGGTTGCCACACACCGTTGATTGGTGTTGATGATGGCGGTGTCCTCAGGATTGAAGAATCTTTCTCAGCTGCATGGAACACACCCTCAGACGTGCACTCTTGAAGAAGGTAGACGAACAAACTGCCGCGGCCGCAGACTCGACACAAAACTAACTACCTGTGCCACCAAACGAAACTTTTTCTTTCGTACACAAGTGTAATACGAAACTTTTTCTTTCGCACACAAGTGCAATACGATACCTTCCAACCGCAAGAACGACGCGAAGAATTCTTTGCTAAAAAGGTATAGACTCACGCCCCCCGATACCCCCCCGACACACACAGGGACGCGGCGCCCCCTATCCAAACAATGTTTTGCGGGTGAAATAGGGAAAGGGTTCACTCACGGCGAACATACTCATACCAAATCGGCAGATCGCCGTAACAAGCACGATTGGTTCTCGTCAACATGCTTCATTGTTTCACTTTCTCTTACATGGACCTGAATTAAAACGCCACTACAACACAGACCAATTTTCAGGCACCCAGCCTCGACGAGACAAAATACAGAGAGGCGGGGCCGTGAGTAAGGTACCTGCACACACAAGGATGTATTTCAACACTCACTACTTTTTTGTACTGGCCGCGAGTGTCGCACTGTATCCGGCTGACCCCCTACAGGCCAACAGCCCGGTGTATATTACACAGCGGGCTTCCACACGACGTAGGCGCTATACGCTTTGGTAGCCGCGGAACTGGGGAGGGGGAAGTGATGCCAACGGCGGTGGCTACGGCCAGCCCTTACGCCCCTACCCCCACCCGGTAACAACAAGAATCCTGAGGGAAGAGGTTTTGTCTCCCAACGCTCCCCACCCGTCGGTCCAGCGAGTGAAAAAAAAAATCAGAAAGAGGACGGTCATAATAACGCAGAACAAAACTAAATATCGCACGCTCTGCTTTTGCACTGCGATGACTGACTGACTGTTAGTTCGTGCGGAACTCGTTCCTGCCACGATCACGAGCGACGGCGCACAGAAGCGACGGGCTACATACAACTGGTGGAGAATTGTCGTCACCACCATACAATTTTTTTCTATACGGTTCTCCTCACTCAAGAAGGCACGCCGGCTGCTCCACAGCGCCGTATTCAACCATGGCAGGAGCAGCAAAGCACAGCGCGACGGAACGCCTCAAACATTGTTGCCGCTGCCTGACGTCGTCTCTACCGACCGGGCTAGACATCGCCTGACGCTGCCTGCCGCCCCCCGCCGCTCTTTGCGGGGACGTATGCGCAGCGACCGCTCGCTGCTGTTGTTGCTGCTATCGCCCAAGGTTTTCGTCGCCTCTCAAAACGGGGACCCACCCCCGACCGTCGGCCAGCTTGATGAACACCACGCCGGACTCCCCCGCGGGGGTGAAACGCTCGGCCGCCTCGGCGTGCTGCCCCGGCAAAAGAAGCTCGCCCTGGGGGGTAGGGGGGGGGGGGGGGGGGGGTATCAATATC